TTAATGAGGTATTCACAATCAAACCAAGAGAACCAGACAGGCGGCATATCCGCTCACTTTAGTCCTCAGATGCTCCATGCAACCCCATATGCGCCTCAACAGCCATACATTCCGTATGGACAACCTTACATGAAATCGACCCTCTTCGGGGGGCAGGTGACACATAATGTCCAACCCTTGGACTGGCAGCTCCGACTGCTAAGACTGGGGGACAACCCTTTGCGTTCTCCAAGGAAAAAAATAGAGGCTGCACAGCCGGCTAAGGTAAAAAATGTATTGGTAGGTACCTATGATGGTACCACCAATCCAGAAGATCACCTTATGGCATACACCAACCTCATGTATCTACAAGGGTTGGATAATGCCGCATGGTGTCAATGCTTCCCAGCCACATTGAAGGGCGTCGCCCAACAATGGTTCGACAACCTTCCAGCTGGATGCATAAATAACTTTAAGACACTTGCATACTTGTTTGCGTCCAACTTCTCAATGAACATCCCTGCAAAGAAAACAAGTCTTAACTTGGGAGCTATCCAGCAGGAAGAGAAAGAAGGGCTACGGTCATACATCAGGCGGTTCAATATGATGAGAATTCAGATTCAAGGACTATCTGATGAAGTGGCCTATACAAACTTTTTTAAAGGTCTGAAGGACGGGTCGGCCTTTAAGATCGACCTTGTCAGAAAGTGAGTTGCTACCCTCCAAGAAGCACTGATGGAGGCGGACGCTTATATATAGGTGACCGAGCTCTGCCACGTCAATAAACAGTCGGACTCAAGGAAGTTCGACAAAAGAGAGAGTCGGTCATCATAACCGGCTAAGAAAGAAGAAAAGAACAGAAAAGAAGTTTGGGTAGCTGATACCTCTGAACAGTCGTCTAAGAAAAAAAAGAAAGAATCTGAACCATACACCCCCAAGTATGAGTTTAACAAGGATTGTCACTCCATCCTCATGGAGATCAAAGACCGAGTGACCATTCAGAAGCCGGCTGCTATGAAAGTTTCCGCCAAAAATCGGAACAAAAATAAGTACTGTCATTTTGATGAGGACGTTGGCCATGACACCAACGACTGCTATAGTCTTAGAGGGTTGTTGGACTGCTTGGCTGACAAAGGGGTGCTCAAGTACTACATTCTGAGGTCCAAGGTTACCCTGTAAACTAACCCTGGGCAGTCGTCCAAGAAAAAGTCTCAACCTGCTAATAGTTCTGATACTGATAAAGAACAGATCTATACAATAGCAAGTGGCTATGCTGGAGGCAGCCCTACCATTCGGGGAACCAAAGATTACATCAGGCGGCTAGATTTCAGCTCAGTTGATGAGGGGCAGGCGCCTAAGGACACTTTCCCTGAAGTTTTCATCTCCGAAGGAGACAGGGGCAATGTTAGGAGGTCGCATGATGACCCCATTGTCATCGAATGCAAAGTGGCCAACCAAAAGGTGGGTCGAATCCTCATAGACACCGGCAGTTCCTCTGATCTCATCAGCCACAAGTGCTTGACCAAGCTCAAGTACAAGGCTCAGAGCATGCACAAGGTTTCTCATCCCTTAGTGGGATTTGGGTGCGGAGTTGTGCATCCGGTAGGTCGAATAGACTTACCCATTCGACTGGGAGAAAAGGGAGAAGGAAGCCACTTAGTGGTCTGGTTCTTAGTTATTGAAGAGCTGACCGCCTATAACATGATTTAAATTAGTCCAAAGCTATTATCATTCCTTCTCTTATGCTTTTCAAGTTTGAAAGGGATGATAGAACAGTCGGCACCCTATAGGGAGACCAAAAGACAGCTAGGGAGTGTTATCTCTTTGACGTCAAATCCACTGTGGTCGTATCCGGCCCTAGTGGAGAAACTATAGACCTTGACAAAATCAAGGAAGCAGCGCCTGCTCCCATAGCAGGCGGCAAAAAAAGAAAGGTCGACTAGTTGGTGGCAGTGAAAAAGGGAAAGCAATAGCAATCACTCGTCCAAATGAACTCCGTCCCCAGCCGGTTGGCGAGCACATTGATATTGTTCTGGATGAAACTCGTCCAGAACGTACTGTTAAGGTGGGGGCGGTTGCTTTTGCTAAATTGGGTGCAGATCTGCACAACCTATTGAAAGAGTTTAAAGACATCTTTGCCTTTAAAGTGGACGAGATGCCAGACATCAGCTCGGATCTAGCCGTCCACAAAAGCCAGTAAGGCAAAAGAAGAGGAACCATGGTGAAGAAAGAAGCCGTGCGGAAGCAGCCGAGGTGAAAAAGCTTTTAGAGTTTGGGTTCATTCGGCAGTGTTACTTCCCTGATTGGGTTGCCAATGCTGTGCTCGTGAAAAAGCCAAATGGTACCTGGCGCATGTGTGTACATTACACGGACTTGAACAAGGCATGTCCGAAGGATAGCTACCCCTTTCCAAAGATCGACAGCCTGGTAGACTCTACAGCCAGCCATGCCTTGATGAGCTTTATGGACGCCTATTCAGGCTTTCATCAGATACCCTGGTGGAAGAATGATCAAGAGAAGACGGTATTTGCCACTGATCGGGGGTTATTCTGCTATACTGTGATGCCGTTTGGTTTGAAGAATGTGCCTGCTACTTTCTAACAAATGATTAATACAGTCTTCATTAATCAAATTGGAAGGAGTGTGGAGGCGTATATTGATGACATAATAGTCAAATCCAAACTTCAGACGGATCATCTTACAGACCTCCGAGAAACATTCGCCACACTTAGGCGGCACCAGGTCATGCTAAATCCAGGAAGTTTCTCGGATATTTGACTGATCAAAGGGGGATAGAGGCCAACCAGGAAAAAATACAAGCGGTCATAGACATGTAGTCGCCCCGCACTGTAAAAGAAATTCAGAAGTTGACGGGTTGTCTGGCGGCATTGGGGAGGTTCCTTAGTCGGTCAGGCTATTAAAAAGAAGACAACGTTTTAGTGGGGGGCGGATGTAGAGGCGGCCTTTCAAAAATTGAAACAGCACTTGCACTCTTTGCCAAGGCTGGTTAGTCCTTTGGCAAAGGAAGTGTTGTACATGTACCTAGCCGTTTCTGACCATACGCTCAGTGATGTTCTCCTTGCTAAAAGAGGTGGCACCCAGCTCCCGGTGTACTTCATCAGTCATGTTCTACGGAACACAAAGCTGAGGTACCCCGTGGTTGAAAAATTTGAACTTGCCCTCTTTATGGTAGTCAAGAAGTTAAAACCTTACTTCCTGGCGTATCCGGTAGTGGTTTACACAGACCAACCAATCAAGCGGCCAATGACAACCATGGAATCATCCGGCCGAATGATCAAATGGGCGATTGAAATTCAAAGCCTTGAAGTTTCCTTTGAACCAAGAAAGGCAGTGAAGGGACAGGCATTTGCCGACTTCATTGTCGAAATGACAAGGCCGGCTGATTCTGAAAACCTTGAACAGGTTTTGAAGGTCTATGTGGACGGGAGCTCTACTCTAAACGGTTGTGGTGCAGGCATCATATGTCAGTCTCTGAAGGAGACAAGTATGAATATGCACTAAGTTTCAAGTTCCAAGCCTCAAATAATGAGGTTGAATATGAAGCCCTACTAGTCGACATCTGCATGTGTAAGGCGGCTGGGGCAAGGAAAGCAGATGCCTGTTCTGATTCACAATCGATTGTTAGCCAATACCATGGTGACTATGAAGCCACACATCCGGCTATGATCAATTACTTATAGGCGGTCAAAGAAGAGGCTGGGATACTTGATGAGTTTCATTTAAGTTAGGTGCCCAGGTCCGAGAATAATTAGGCGGATGCTCTTTCCAAACTTGCATCATCTGCCTCTTGTGATACACCCAGGTTTGTCTTTTGGGAAGTTATGGAAAAAAGAATTATTGAAGAAGATCCCATAGGAAAACTAGACCGAGGCTCAGCCTAGATGGACGGCATCCGGGCTTACTTAACAGATGGCGCTTTGCCAGATACCTACCCAGAGATGGTCACAATAAAAAAGCGTGCGGCCAATTTTGAAATCCACAATGGAGAGCTTTTCAAGAAAGGCTACCTCCAACCTTTTTTGAAATGTATTACCCTAAAGAGGGGACGAAAGGTCTTAGAAGACTTGCATTCGGGCTTCTGTGCCTCCCACATAGGCTGCAGGACCCTAGCAAAGAGAGCCAAGCGGCAAGGATACTTCTGGCCTACCCTGGAAGCAGACGCCATGAAGATGGTGAAAAAACGTGACAAGTGTCAAAGGTTTGGCAAGCTCATACACCGTCCGGCCACTAATCTGACGGCCATCCATAGCCTAGTACCATTCTCTAAATGAGGCTTGAACATTTGGAGTCCGTATACGCCTGCTACAAGCGGACGGAGGTATAATTTGGTTGTTGTCGATTACTTCGCCAAATGGGTAGACGCGGAGGCAGTCAAAGGCATTAAAACAAAAGATGTTATCTCCTTCATCTGGAGAAATGTCATCACTCGGTATGGGGTACCCATGTCTATGGTCTTTGACAATGGTCCTCAATTTAAGACGCCTGCTCTTAAGAACTAGTTGGGAGACCAAGGGATCTCTCACTGTTTTGCATCAGTCGGTCGTCCCAAAGAAAACGGCCAGGTTGAAGCCTTCAACAAGTTAATCTCTGATGGCATCAAAAAGAAAATTGAAAGAGTTGGTGACATATGGGCTGACGAGCTATCGCATGTTATGTGGACCATCAGAACGATTGAGAAGGGGCGACTGGTAGGGCCAATGAGCAGGGAAAGCTGACTCCCAATTGGGAAGGCCCCTACCGAATCTATGAAGAAGTAAGAGGCGGCACCTACCGCCTGGAAACACCAGACGGCAGGCAGCTAGCCAGAACTTGGAATGTAGACAACTTGAAAAAGTACTACTTCAGAGACATAATTTTTTTGTAAATGAAAGCACATCAATAAAAAGTTGTTATTTGTTTTCAATACTTTGTATTTGTACGCATGCTCCCAAAAGGGAGAGATGCCTGCCTAATAAGTAGACGACCTTTTTACTAATTTCCCACTACTCCAACATGAGTAACAAATAAGCTAAGTCTAGCAAACTTAGCAGCTATGTGTTGTTCCACTCAGAACAAATGAGGCCTATGGCCGGATGATCTAAGTCAGGCCTATCGTCTGACGATCAACAATGAGGCCTAAGGTCGGATATTCTTAAGTTATAAAACAATACGTCTGTCCCTAACATGAGCAGGCGTCCAGCGACATCCATTTGGGTGAATTCGTCGCAGAGAGCATCTCCTGTATGGGTGGCACACATTGCTCTGTGAACTGATCAAATGAGACAAAGATAACAAAGACTACTGACTGCTATAAAAACATGCGGTAATCTATAATATCTAAGTCGGATGCCGACTGTTGTTCAGGGGCAACACAGGCAGAGAAATTTGAGGATATAAGCTAAGTTCCACACTTAGAAACTAATTGAGTAAAAAGCTAAGTCTAAAGCTTAGCACTTGTGAGGAAACAACATGCGGCTAACGGCCGTCTACTTCTTCTTTTTACTCAAACCCAGGTGACAAAGATTGATTAATCTCAAAGGTTATCTCATAGTCGCTCGACCTGAATAAATGGAACCTAAACGGTACGAACGAAGCCGTATATCCTTTTGATAAACAAACGGCATTTGACCACTATTCCTATTTAGGTTAACAAAACAATTATAGCTACCGCTTGTAACCCAACAAGCGGTTGCTACTTTTGTTAAATATCCCGTTTAACGCCTGTTTCTGTACAGGTACCAAACAAATGGAAAATTTACAATCAATAAAGTAAACTAAGTACAAAACTTAGTAGCTAAGCGTGGTCCGTCTAAAAGAACTATATTGAGGCCGAGAGCCGGATCATGCTGAGCGTATGACCGTTTTTCCAATGGCTGTCTATTCGCCTAGTTTGGGGCAATCACCATAGTGGTTGATAGACTTAGAAATTATACATACTCTTTAAAGTATCAAAAATTTCCAAGTCAATCCATCAACCTTTGAAAACCAAGCGCACAGCCGCCTAGGGGAAAAAACAGTCGATACCAAAATAATCGGCATATCAAAAAAAGTATCCAAAGCATTCATACAAAAAGGCAAGTTATACTTAGCAAAATTTATGAAATGCAAAAATTCAAAGCTAAATGAAAATTGGAAAATCCGACAAAACTACCGGATGATTCATACAAACAGTCGGCCAAAAGACCGACAAAAAAGTTAAAATTGTCAATAAACCTCGACCCCTTGATCGGGTAATGATACAAAACAAGCGGCACGCAGGCCGAAGAAAGTTGATATAAAAGCTTAAGTAGTAGAAAGGGGTTGTTCAGTATAAATAGCCGCATCCTTTTTGTCCCCAGCCGACTACTGTTCTTTTTCATTATCCTCCCCGTCCTCCTATTCCTCTTGGTCTGACCCCCTGGATGCGGAATCAGACGACTTGCCCTCCTCCTCTTCACCCGCATTCATGATTTTTTCAATATATTCCTGGGTGCAGGTGGCAAACTTACTCTTCCAGCCTTCATAGCTGGCATCCGGGAAAAGAGCCGCCCAGGTCATCTCCATGATGATGTTGCAGTCGTCCATCATGTCATTGACCAAGGCCCGCTTCTCCTCGTTGGCCCTAGAAGCGTATTTTTTGGCAAGCTGGGTTTCCTGGTTAGCCAACCGCTGCTTCAGTTTGTCCACCCGAGTTCGGAGGTCGTCTGCTTCTTTCTCCGCCTCTTGAAGAGCCTGAAGCTTGGCCTTGAGGTCCTTGACCTGCTGTTCAAGCTCAAAGACCTGCTTCTTCGCAGCGTCCAAGTCAGCCTTGACCTGCAGGTTGGCGGTCGCCTGTGAATATAGTATTTCAGTCATCAATATTTCATTTTGGTCAATCTGAAACATGGCCTTATCATGAGAAGAGGCGGAGCAAGCATTCGCAGCCTTTACCTCCTTGGTCTTCTCGTTGATGGACCTGCGAAGACCGTGCACTCGTAGCATAGACTACACTCGGCCAAAAAACAGACGTTAGTTACAGGCAACTCACAAGTTATATAAACAAGAAATGGAAATTTTTTACAAGTATACCTCAGCCAGAAGAGCGAGGATGGGGTCTAGGTTGAGGGTGTCGACTCCTCTAACCGCCTCCCTGTCCTCAAGGGAGACGGCTTTCAGCGTGGATTTGGCCAGCTATACAAGATCCGGCCTTTGAGAGGCATCTGCACATTCAACATTTCTTAAGTACTTTGTGTAAATTCGGCCAATAGACCGACTACTTTCAGTGGTGCTAGACGACAGCTGATTGAATTTGAACCTCAAAGGGTAAGGGAAAGGAAACAAGTCTTTAATACCTTTAGCAGCCGCCTCCTTCTCCTTCCCCTTCTCCTTGTCAGGCCGACTTTCCTAAGGGACGGCTGGAGATTTTGGAGGTGGGTTCTTCCTTGGCCTTGAGGCCACATGCTTCCTGGATCTTCCAAGAGGGCTCACATCACCAGCCGTCTACTTCCGAATCTTCGGATCCGGATGTGAGTGAGAGGGTTTGTTTGAGTCACTCTGCAACAAAAATCACAGAATGAGGAGCAGGCGACAACAAATATTATTTGACTTAAACAAATGAAAGAGAAGTTCACCTTGGACGCCTGTGAAGCAGGCGACTCTCAAGTAGGCCGCTTGCCCAGGATGGCCAAGCAGTATTGAGCAGCAACTTTCTTTGATGCCGAGAGCTTCTCCATAGCTTTATATGCAAAAGATGAATCAAAGAGTTAGTTTGACACAAAATCAACCAAGTTTTACAAAACACTTGAGTATGCGGTCAACTACCTCTCGGCATCTCTCCACTAAGGCCACATGCGGCCAGATATGTCCCATCGTATAGCCAGTTATACTTGGGAATATAATTTTGAGGAAAGAACTCCCTCGCCCTAGCCTTGGGGTTCGCTTGGATATCCACTTTGAAAAGGCCTTTTCAAGGATCTCTTCTTTGGCTCTACGAGGAACATGCGGCAGCTCAGATCCGCCTATTAGGAAAAGTGGGTTCTTGTTATTCCTGACTTTGTTAGGGCTGGAGACAATGTAGAAAGTGTTCTTCAAATCTTTCCACTTGTTCTCCTTCCCCAAAGTCATCATATAGCCCTTGTGGCTAGACAACTGGTACCAACCGGTCCCTCTAGTTTTTGGGGTCCGACTGATGTAGTGCATGTGGGCGAATGTTTCAAAGCTGGGGTCTACTTCGTGCATTTCGCAGCCGGAAACATAGCCCAAGATGATGAACCAAGAGTTTGGGGCCAGTTGCCAGATATCCAGCTGGTATCCGTCTAGGATTTGCTCCATAGCCGGATGTAGAGGAAATCTTAGGCTAGCCTTAAGAGCCACCTCATAGCATCCAAAACACTCGTCATCGTAGCTGGACCCCTCTGGCTAGAGTACGGTGTCCTCGGCATTCGACGTACATAAGATAAAACCATGCCCCATGACATGGTCAGCTCTGAAGCTCCCTATTTTATCCGCCATCATTTTCCGCCTGCCTGCGGGAACATGATGATTGTAGGCGGCATATTGCTCTCGGCGGGTAGCACACGGCTCTGCCCAATCTTCTCCCAATTCTACTGAGAGGGATTCTCTCACTGTCTCTAGCCAAGAGTGTCTCCCTTCAGAGTCATCAGAGAATTTGCTGGAAGTACTTGGCTCAGAGTCACTGCCTGAGCTCTCGGACTTAGCGTCTGCCTAATGGGCTAGATCAACAAAGCCCCGCATGTCATTTTGAACCTCCTCCCTTGATTCTTCTAAAATGGAATCACCGGGAGTGCTTAGGGCGCAAGGCGGCACGTCAGATATCTCACTGACAGGCGCATAGAAGAAGGAGCCCTCTAAGTTGGTCACCCTTGCAGTTATTTTAGTTCTAGCCATGATGTCCTGCACAGACACATAGACAGTCGGACTTGGGGCAGTTCGCAAAGGGTGGTCCAGCTAGGGGCAATCGGCACTCCTAGTTCGAGATTCAGTCGTCCCCGGTGACCGGCTGATCACTAACCTAGGTTGTGCCGTGTGCATTTGGGAAACCATTTTCAAAAAGAAAAAAAAAAACAAACAGAAAGTACAAGAGAATACAGGCGATTACCTTTCAGTTAAAAAGATTGAAGGTGCTTGAAAGAATCTTGCGGCTGTAAGAGTAGGCGGTAAAAAAAAGTCAAAAGTCCAAAGTTTGAGAGTTTCAAAATTCTAGAATGTCCAAAAAGATGATTTGGACATCCCCTATTTATGGGGAAGTGAATTTCAAGGGACGGTAAAAAAAAAAAAAAAAAAAAAAAAGAAAACGGTGAAAATCGTTGGCCAATCAGAGTGTGACACTTGTCACAGGCACCACGTGGCAAGCCACGTTGCCCCTGTGAGGGGCAAATGATTATGGGATTTTAACCTCGCCACGTGGACCAACCAGAGTCCGCCACGTGTCACCTTGTGAGAGGTCCAAGATGGACCAATCAAGCAACGACACGTGGCAGACAAATTGCCAATTCGGAAAGTGGCCTTTAACGGCCCAAATTCCTAATCAAGCCCAGTCAGTCCTAAGTTTCTGAAACCTATTACTGGGCACGCATTGCGAGACCCTATAAAAGGGAGATGTTCCCCCTAAGGAACATCATTAAGAAATTATTAAACACCTATGTACATTAATTGTTGAGCATTAACTCTAGCTTTAATTGCACTTCTTGAGAGCTAAGGCTCGGATTTAGAGGCTATCTCAGATAGCCGGATGATCACTCCTCTCCTAAGAGGAGCCTGATCCCCCTTTACATTCCGCATTTTTTACATCCGAACACGTTCTAACTTTATCGTCAGAGGCGGAACTCCCACCCACAGGAGTCTCCGTTGTTTTGCAAGTACAGGCGTCCAGAGGCCAGTCTTGGTGTTGTAACTCTCCGACAGGACATCCAAAAAACCCCGAAACAAGAGTCCTTATACTTAGTATAGTTAACTACCCCATTAGGCAAATGATAATCACGAAAGCGACTCTTAATAGCCTCATAGGGAGGATAGTTAGGCAAACAATGAACAATCATGGCGGAGACATAGTTTGGTTGGTCAAGATGACGCTCCCCAAACAACACATCAGATCTATAAGTACAGTAAAAGCGAATCCTGCAAATATAATCGCACACATGCTCATAGTCCTTATTTACTAAAGTACCCTTGGTAGTGAATCTATTAGGTAAATTAAACATCTTGCAAGGTATTTCAGGTTATGACTCAATAAAGAAAAATTCCTTTTCAATCGAGTATACAGTTCCATGCAAAAATTTAAGTTTGGTGTTCAATCATACAATTTACGTTATTACACATAAACATGCTTTCACTTAGATACATATAATCATACAACATGCTTGAACACCTTACATAAATAAAATATGGACATAGGAAGACATACAATTCTAATCTATATGCCCTTTCTTTCCTACCCACAATCTCACCACATGCTTTCAAAAGCAATTAACACATAATTATATACCTTAATTCCTTCACATACCTGCACAAATTTTTTTTTATATTTTTTTTTAAATTGAGCTTTATTTTCGAAAAATAATTACCCGAAAATATAAAAAAAAATTCGGACCCCTTAAATAAAAAAAAAAAAAAAAATTTGGCCCTTATTATTTAAAAAAAATTAGACCACTTAATAATTAAAAAAATAAAAAAAAAATCGGCCCTGTTAAAAAAAATAAAAAAAAATTGGACCTCTTAAAAATATGTTCAAACTTGATCAAATAAGCACTTGTCCAAGCTTTAAAACATAGGTACCTAAAAAAAAACGTTTTTGGCTTTAATGGTAATTAAAATCCAACCTAAGCTCCCAGACACCACTTTGTAATACCCTAGAAATTTCCTTTTTTTAAAATACTCATTTTACTCTAAATAAAACCTTTTTAGGAAATAACCAAAACATTACCGCCATCGTGATCACGGCTAAGGCTAATTTTCAAAGTCACACAGCGGAAGTCTAAAACATAAATCAACTTTGTAAATAAACTTGAGTTCACAACCTCAAAACAAAAGTAGAATAAAACATTTACTTGTTACTTTCTCAAAAATAACAAATAACTCAAAAATATCAAAACTAAGAAACATAACAAGTAACTCTTTGCACTCATTCTCATCATGCTTTTCATGTTTCAATTACTTGTTACTTTCTCTTTATCTCAACCCCTCTACTCACCATATAAATAGGTCATAGTAGGGCCAATTTAAAGGAAAGTCAAACACAAACACAAAAGCACGAATCAGCAAAAGCTGAGTACATATGCACCACACTAACATGAATATCCTAGCATCAAATAAAATAATTAAAACATGCTCGACATACAATCACAAGTCACCTTACCTTTGACTCATAGCTAGCAATATTAATTATTAAATAATAGCTTTAGATTACGCATCGAACGGGTCGGGTTTCCTTCCTTTAAAAATATCCCATTAAACATGGAGCATCCAATTAGGGAGCTACCCCAATTGGTACCTACTATGTCACACTTGTGACGAAATTCCAGCGCATTAATAATAAATTAAAGTACAGTGTCCTTTACCCCAGTAGAAGTTATGCTTAAATTTAAAACCCCATAGGGGTGAGCACGGATCGGATATCCGATCCGAAATCCAATTTCGAATCGGATATCCGTATCCGAAAATCCTAATATTTGATATCCGAGTTATCCGATCCGAAAATTTCGGATATCCGATATCCGATTTCCGGATATCCGAAATTTTCGGATCGGATAACTCGGATATCCAATATCCGACCCTTTTTATAAATTGCTTCTATATTTCGTAAAAAAAAAAATTGCTTCTACAATCAATATATGTCTGCTCTATAAAATGATCAATTATCTAAAATTATGAACTAAACTTAATATAATCTAAAAATACAAGTAATTAAAATCTGAAATTTGAAAAAAAAAAAAAAAAAAAACTTCATTCAAATTCTAACCTAAATTAAATTAGATCTGAAATTAGTAAATTACGGCCTCGTCGGTGTCGATGTTGCTGTTGGCCACAATTTGGGTTGTTGTTGGTCGTTGTTGGGAATCGCCGGTGTTGCTCGGTGTTGCTGTTGGTCGCTGTTGGCAATCGTCCGTGTTGCTCGGTGTTGTTGTGGAGTTAAAAGTTGAGAGAAAAAAGAATAGAGTATTGAC